TGATAATTATGTAGATTTTGTCAGGTTTCTCACTACTTTGTGCATAAGGATAAATATACTATCATATAATTTCTGCAACTTGTATAAATCTTTAAATTATCGATCGTAAACCACTCGTACCTTTTATAAATCAACTTGTTAAAGGTTGTGGTTAATTACTGTTTTTTTTTTTCTTACACCTGATTTCATGCCTGAAACAATTGAACATCTGTTCGTTCGATCGTATCGTTTACAATTTGTGTTTGTGATATTATGTTTGCAATTTTTATCAAATCAAAATAAACTGTAGCTGCATAAACATGTATGTGTTAATAGAAACGTTAATTAAATGCATGTACAATTAAAAATAAAATACATTATTAGAATGGGTTTTATAAAGGTAGCGGAAATTGATAGATTTACATAATTTAAATAATAAATTCACATAAAGCAAAGCTTAAACAGTCAATTTGTTAAAAACTACAAAAATATTTACTACTAGCTGACCCTGCAAACGTTGTTTTGCTATTTACATTTTTTTTTTTTTTTTTTTGAATTTCTTAAAATCCGTTCTTAGCTGACCTCTACTCGGTGAAAAGAATATTCCTACCAAATTTCAAGTCTTTAGCTCTAATGGTTCCAGAGATATCGTGATGAATGACTATATACGTGGAAATCTCTTATATATATTTACTATTGTTTTGTTAAAAAGATTTGTGTGTGGATCTTCACCTCTTACCTTATGCTTAATTTCCAGCAACGCAAAAATGTTTCTTTATTTGATACGCTTTCACACTAGCTATTAGTATTCATACGTACAATACGTAAACCATCGCTTAAGTATAATTAATATTTTTTTGCAATAAATAAGCTAACATTTCTTTGTAATGCATTTATTCTTAATGAAGAATAGTGTTTTTCGTTTACATTATCAATTAGATGTCTATTTTATTGCTTCCTATCCTTTCCTATACATAAACTTTTGTAGCTACTCCCTTTTCTACTAACTCATTTAATTTAGACATTTTAAAAAAGAAATATAAAATTTAAGTTTAAACTAATTGATTATCTCAAGGCCACTGCCGTCACAAAATACTAAAGATCAACGAAGACACCTTCCTGTAAGACGTCGTATAAAATATTTAAACTGTTATCTATATGTCAATATTGATGTAAAGGCTCTAAAAAAATTAAAAAAATAAAAATACACGACTTGTCATCGTTAAAACTCTAAAACACGTCAATACAACCAACCGTACCCGACAACGAACATCAGACACCTCATTGATTAGAATCGATTGAAGCAATTAGGCCTTAGATGGTTTCATTAGGCCTTGTCAGCATCCGTGTGAGGAGCATTACCCTCTTTTTGGTGTCCCCGTAGTCTGATAATTAAAAGCAATCATTTACTTCTGTTAACCATCATTAAACGAACGATTACGTTCAAACATATTGCCACTTAAAAATCTAGGTTTATCAAGATTGGAAGTGTACAAAGGCTAACAAAAACGATGAAGTACTTGGAAACTTAACAACATAATAAAATATGGTAAATGCCCATAAAAGTGTCGATTTAATAAAACAGACGACTCTTTCTGTCTGTCTGCCCGTAAGCTTATCTGTTGGTTGCAATGACCCGTTTCAATATGTAATTATAAACATTGGTTAAACCTATTGCGTACTGTGACGGACCACTAAATATCGACCGACGGTATATTATATTTTATGAAATTAATAAATTTATGATATTGGGTAAGGAAACGGAAATCTTTACATAAAGGATTTATTTTAACTTTCTGACTCAGCTGCCAAGAGTAATAAATAACATTTAGAGTTCACATCTATGAGGTGTTTGTCGCCTTACGGCGCTTCTTCAACTGTTTTTAGCATAAGTGGTACACACACCATGTTAAAACTTTGAAATTATTGTATGTTTATTTTACCCAGGTATCTTACATAAAGGCCAGTGGAAAACCAGGAGGTAATATTTACTTATCGTTTCTACGAGAGTCAGAAACAGCCTGGATGGGGTTTATTGTGGTACAATAAACTAGCGAACGTGATGCCATTTTGTAACGTCGGAACGCAACTGTGACAACTTTACACGAAATATACTAGCTAAGAATGGCCACGCTTCGCCGCAGTCTCGTATTTTAGACTTTTTTACAAGCCAGTTTTAATGAAAAAATAAACACCTGATAAAATAACCTCAACGGAGAAAACAAAAACATAAATAACAATAATATTTTAAAGTGTTTGAGGAATTTCTAGACTAACATGTTTATGTAATAACACAAAAGAGGATTTGCGAATGAAGTATAACAGTATTCGATCCAAAACGGAAAGCCCCTATGTATGAACTCATCTTAATTATTTAACACAGTTACAGTCATAAACTTGACATGACACAGTCAATGCAATACTTAATTATGATAATACTCTTGGCAAGCTCAACCTAATTATCCTTATTAAACTATAGTGTGTCATTGTTACTGTATTATTAATTTATCATCTTAATTATTTACCTACACGAAACGAAATATATTATAAATTCTTATACTAACTAAACTAAACTCACTTGTTCTAATTGACCTTAGGTTTATACTCAGATCATAATTATTATTATCTCTGCGCTCCAATAGTAGTAGTCCAATAGTAACCAATAGTAGTTTATTGTTTTTCCTATCTTGCTATCGTCAATTATTTACTTAACAAATCATTGTTTAAACCGCAAAGTCATTATAATGAAAAACCAAAGTCTCGCAAGACACAACTCAAATCTTCTACTGCAAAAGTTGTGAGATCTAATTCTAACATTTATTGTCAGCGTGTCAATCAGTCGGTCAATATTAGACGTCTTAATTTCTTTAATAAATGAAATAACTTAGCCATCGCACGATGTCATAATAGCTTAGATAGAAGAATCTCCATTTTCAATAGCCCTAATTGAAAATTGCTCTAGCGATCTTTTGTGTATACACAAACATTGCAACTTGAGTTTTTGAGGTTGTGTTTTTGTAGGTAGAGATACTCACGTCTATGGCAAAATTAAGGAAGTTTGATTTGCAATAATTTTTAAACTAAAGTTTCCAATTGTATGAAATTCAGGAATAAATCGCGTTATAGTATGCACTATTGGTCTTTCAAAATTCAGTTGTATCTACAAGAAAGTTGAAAACGTCCTGAATGCTTTCGTTTTTTATCGACTTCGTGGTATCACGGCCATGCTCCCATATTTCGTAAAATCGTGGTTGATTAGTAAAGGAGTGACTTCTATTTTTTTATTGTGCTTTACAAAGTCTAACGCTACATTGTGAAAAACAAACATTACCATTGCTCAAAACATGACATGTTTGATCTAGGATTTACACATTAAGACGGCCAATTACAAGGTTGGCAGTAATGAAATACATACAAGTAGCTATCCACTGTCAAGATGAATCTTAATCATTACGATTCATTGCAATCGTGCTGTTAAAGATGCTTATTGTTTAAAATATAGACGTCTTCATGGGTGGCGCTTAAAGTCTGCTCTTTATAATCAAGGCAATTTAGCAATCAATTGGAATGGGTTTTTTGACTTATACTCTCGCCTTATACACGTTCATATCATTACTGTGTTAGCTGTCTAGAATTCAGAACATCTCGCAATGTTGATTGATACAATCAAAGTAATTTATTTTATAACATTGAAAAAGAATGTAGACCATTAAAGTAGGCATTCAATCGTACGCTTACTGAAACAATAGATAACCTTGAAAAATCGTTTTTTTTTTTTTGCTAATTTGCCGCTATGATGGAGAAAGAACTAGGTACAACAAAAACACATTTGCCGAGGCACAATTCCTTCAAGCAAAACCAACAACTTATAAAAAAATGACGTTACGCAAATTGCTTTGAGTGAGGCAACCGCAAAGACAATATTTTGTCTTTCATCACATTACCAAATACGATCTAATGTATTCGCGACTTCGCGAACTCATACATAAAACATTTGTTAAATATTTTATGACCGTTGCTACATTGTCGATTTAACCTTCAACTAATTCTTTGTTTAGTATATAAAATAATTGATCTATTGTGATTCGTCGATTGTGTGATGAACTGTCGACATCAAATCCGGGGTATGACTATAAAAACGTAATCGATGATTGAATTCTAAAACGCATTTCCGCTCATCTGTGTTTTGTATGCTGAACGGAAATTTGCCTTTTATTTCATCTAATAAATAATTAAAGTTAATTCGCTAGACATCGTTTTCAAGTTACATAAATAAATAACAAGTATAAATAACTGTCGTACTACAGAAAGTTACGAAGTTGTGCCGAAAGTCTTTTATCTGGTCAGTTCTAGTTTCCATGACAAGTTTCAGTCTAATTATTGTTTTCTATCATTAAGCTAATTTGTTTATATCTTTGAAATTATGTCTCAGGCAAAAATACATATCTCATTAGTTTTAGCACCATACAGACATTCCTAAAACTCAATGCAATTTAATTGCATCACACAATAACTAAAATAAAACACACCTTTTATAGTTAGTCGTGATATTATAATATATTTACAAAGGAATGATTAATATTATTTGTTATTCATATGAATTAATCATTAAATAATAAAATTAACATTTAAAAAATATCACTGACTTCAAGGCGCGTATATCATGATGTATGTAATAGACATGCTTTGTTACTTAATTTTCATTCTAAGGGGACGGTATATAAACCCTTTAAAATAAAAAAATCCTAACCTTTTCATAAATGAAGTAGGTCTGAGGCAAATAACATAATGAAAAAAGAGAACCGCCGAGTTAGAGTGGATAGGGCCGTGCAAATATGGATATTTAAATCAACTCTAAACTTCAGAGATGTACAGGTCTGAATGCTTAAATTATTTACTAGTGTAGTTCAGTAGATAAAACACGCGGTACCATGCAGCCCATAATTTCCCAATGGCGTTTACTTTTAAGCGTGGAATTATACGACCGGCCTATTAATTTTACAATTTCCTGTGCCACCCAGGAGCAGTGGCCAATTGCGCAACACGCTGAGCCGCGCTCGGGAACTCTGCGAGCGATGGCGCACCGGAGGTGCGACACCAACGCCGCCTGCGCCGCCTCCCGACGACGAGGGCGGAGGACGTCTAGCGAGGTGGTTCAGTGTGAGAAGAGGTTCTTCCCATCAGTACGATATGCACCCGCACGAGACCGACAAGATGCCGAAATTGCCCGAGGTAGTAAGAGACCTTAATATTTTTCACGTTAATACATAGTTTATTAAAGAAAATCACCTAAATGAGTCTTACCGTCTTACGTACCGCTGCTTAGTCTCACTATAGAAAGTAGAAGATCTTTTCTCGTACTTTTCAATTGTAAAACTCTCAAGTGATACTGTAGTTAGTTTATTTTATTTATTTAAAACTTTTTGCACAAGTACATGCATCTTCGGACTTAATGCCTAAAGCAATCTCTGCTAGTCGACCGATTGGGCTGAGAAAGAATGAGGATAATAAATAATAGAGGTTTTCTTAAAACCAACTATCTTAGAATGTGGTGTATACATCTAAATACCACACACATACATATATAAACGTATATACACATACATATATTATAAAAAATATAATAGTTTTATTCGATTAACTAAGAGCTCGTTGAATCCGCCATTTCATTTAGCAAAAGCTCTTTTAGGACAAAAGAGTACCGATTTTCTCTAATAACACAAGCCAACAAAAATTGAGTTCCTTTCCCAGAAGTCAGAGTATATTTTCCCGAAGGGTTTTGGTGCGCTAAGCCATTTTTGAGGTAGGTACATAACCGTAAAACCTTTTTTGCACATTTAGGTTAAATTTTAAAATTAAAAAAAAAATCTAACCCTTCAAACTTTATTATACCTAAAAAAGTACACCGTGTATCTTAAAGTGCAAGTCGTTAGCTTTCAAATGACGTTGAGTTTGCAGTCTTTATTTGAAAGCGGAAAGTACACTCTGGTTTCTGGGAAAAAAATACCCTGTGTTATTATTAATTATTTCTGGCTATTTGTTAGTTATATCAATATGGTAAAGTACGTACGTACTACGTAGTGTTTAACGTACTCGAAGTGGTTAACCTCAAATACCTTTGTTGCTAATCCACATCATGTGAAGTCATCAATACCATAATAATAATTTCTTTGTTGTGGGTCAATGCCCTTGAAGAAAGCTCAGTGTTTAGAAAAGTCTGTTGATCCTTGAAATAATATAAATCATCCCTACAGCTTTCACACAGAAGATAGTGTAATAAGAAAGTACTGATGATACATCAATTCAGATAAAAAACAAGAGCACACTCCTTATGAATTGAATGACAACAGGGTATTGAGACCACCTACTAGGCTAGTTATAGTTAAACAGGAATTCTCATACATCATGAAAGAAGCTTTAACTTATTGAATGAACTTCTCAATGAATTATGAGACATTGAAGGATTGCAATAGACATTTAAGATAAGCGATTTCCGGTCTGATAGCACATCTGTAACTAGGATATATGTTTCATAATTATGTATAAACTAGCTGAGACCCGCGGTGTTACCAGCGTTTGTTGTTATAGCCGCGGGCAACGCCGCGGGGCGAAGCTTGTCTAAAAAAAGTAGCCTAAGTTACTACTACTACGAGATTACCCGGAACAAACAGACAGACAGACAGACAAATTAATAAAAAAATGTTATGTTGGCATATGTACCGTGTAAACATACATATGCATTTAGTAAAAAGCGGTTATTTTAATATTACAAACAAACACTCCAATTTTATTTATTTGTATAGAGTATAGATACCGTGTAAAATTGTATTGATCCTTATGTTCCTAACTTATTATATATTATAAAGTCTTTGCATGTATGATTCACAATTATGTATATTGAAGATGAATCATGATCGGGTCATTGAGTAGTCACTCAACAGCAAACGGCTGTTACAAACCGATTGTACTACGCGTCTCCGCTCGCGTCGCGCGTCGTGCCAGCGGAGGTCTAAATCGCTTAACAAATAATCCATTCTAACATGTGATACAATGATGTCAGATTGCTACCCAGTCAGCTACCATATTGGATTCATGTACACGATAGTAATTTTCTTATTTCAGTTTATTTTTAGTGAGACGACGTGAATAACGTGTGATTCGTAAATGTCAAAAGTTAATTCAATGCCAGTACGTCTCCCGACGACGTTGTCGTAGACATGTTTTGTCCGTTCTGTATGAAGATTCTTCACGATAAGGCTCATTATTCGTTGACTAGTTTTAACGTAAGTCACGTGGTCGATTGAGTGATACTTTTGACGTTTACGTTTTATAAGTAAGACAGTGATAGTGATGACGCGATTTGTGACGCGATTAAAGAGAGGCGATTCTCTACTGCGCGAATTTGTGTTCACAATATTTGGGAGTCGTCCTCGAAACACTAGTTACAACCGCGTTGAATAATCACACAAGTTATTTCTGTGCATTTCCCAGAGACGAGCTCGAACAACAAACTTGTAGCGAATTGTCCTAGATATTTGTACTCTAACACGTACGTGAAGTGTATTGTATTGAGTAAACAATGTTTTGTGGAATTTTCAGTTGGAGGAGGACCTGTTCTCATGCGGGGGAGAGGTCCGTGGCGGTCGCGTGCCGCAGCCTTCACTGGGCACGGCGCCGGACTCTCTGACACCGGTGCAACTACGACGGAGACATGTCGTCGCCGCTATTATACATAGTGAAAACTCATACGTAGCTACTCTACAGAGGCTTATCAATGTAAGTATAATATGACTCTCAATTTTTGCTCTGAAGCCATGTCGAACTGTCTACTAAAATGTGTTATAGTACCTGCATGAATTTTATTTCTTTTATGAGTGCTGTACACATTCGATACGTTATTTATTTTAGTGATTCGCTGTGACCAGTGACTATCTATGCATAAATATATAAGCAAGTTGGTACATATCCCTTTGTTAGTTTAATCTGGAATGTGGTACATACATGATGGATGTTAATAAGCGGAGAATGAGATTATATATGGACACTCATTTGCCCAATGACTAGTAGTCGTCGTCATGACAAGTATGTATAAATAAAATTGAAATGATTAGTTATACTGATAGCGAACTAACAGACACTTATTCCTATTTATTTAATATGACTACTTCACTGGAGTTTCTTTGTCTGCTGTATTTATATATATAGATTAACCCTTTAAAAAAATATCAACACTTACAAAATTAGAAAAGAATGTAAAGGTCAATTGTTGGGCTTTAAAAAGAAGTACTTCCTACAAAAAACAAAACTGCTATTTATCCATACAAGGCGGGTCGTTCAAATGTTCAAATATTTGCTGTGAGCAATTATGTTGAACTGAAATAAGTACATTGTCAACAAGCAACCTCTCGTTAATAGTAGTTACAGTACTCAAACCGGTTTCACTATCACAGTATCTCGGATCCCGTACTCGCAATATTTGAATAACACACGCTGACATTTCTCATGACTCCGGTGAAATTCGTGATCGGGAAGGAAGCACGTTTAGATTGATGGCATAATAGCCGGCAGTTATAATGCGATCATAATAACTACAGTTCCCATTACGCAATCGTTTAAGTAAATAGATGAAAATATGGGTAGATGGCTATAGAAAGACCAGTAGAGGTGTACGCGACTCGACTGGGCACTTAATTAAAGCGTAAGTGTTTGCAAAACTGTTTGCTAGCACCTGTGTTTTTGTCTCGATGGCTACTAGTTCTGAAAGTAGTCTAAGGTGTTATATTAAATAGCAACTGTAGGTCTTATGTAATGTAACAGTTGCAAAGAAAGTTGCTAAGACTTTAGCTATATGTTGAACTTGAAAAATTATCACTTCATATTTATTTTCTGAGTATTTTGGGTAAGTTTTGTAATATTTTAAAAGACAAATTTCCGGAGTCATGATTTCATGTTTTGTATTGTATTAACAATATCATAAATGGCTGAATTAGAATTTAACGTTATAACTATTGTCTAACTTTTTTTAGCAACTACTAGTAAATAAAAGACTATGATTTCTCTAAGCAACTGTATTTAGCGTTTATTATTTTCAGAACTTTCTTTTTCTTTACGAAACTGACGTACAAACATTTTTGTTACATTCGAAATACAAAAACGGGAAAATCTGAAAACAGACGCATTGGTATAGTCAAAAATCTTAACATAGACATATGTAAATATTAACCTGTCTGGCCCACATTTGTATTGTTTCGCCCACAATTCACATGCCATAGATTAGCATATTGGGAAGTGGGGCAGTTTGAATAGTCACTATTTGCAAGTAAATTTTGCGCGGTCGCCCGTCTCTATCACGTGATACAGATTTTTTTAATTCGAAGAGATTATTTTAAAATCAATATAACTATTTATCCGTTATATATTTAGTTTTCTTTACATACTCATGATATTTTATCGCTATTAGATTTTATACCTAATAAATATTACTCCTTATGGTTTATTTTATTTCTTTCTATTACTAATAAGACTGCTACTTATTACATATTAATATAATAAACAAAGCGCATCTCTCGTAATGCTAAGGTCGCACACAGGCGAAAAATCAATAAGTCGGACAAAACCTGAACATTATAGATTATCATAGGAAACGGGTATATAAGGGTGGGAAACTAGTAAAAATAACATATAAATAATTTTTTGACATTTTTATTACACATCAAGAGTAATATTTGGTTCATCTAATAGATTTAAAACCTCTTGGCACATAGGAACAGATTTTTTTGCCACTGATTTCCTCAGTCCCGTTATAAAAGGATCAGAAGAAACCATAAGTCTCTTGAAAGTGTCTTCAATGGCTAATTTTCTCGAAAATTTTCTTGAAAACTGCTCTCTGTACTTACATACATCTTTGTTCCTACTTTCTTGAGCATCTTCGCTCATTAATCCTATGGCTACTTCAGAATTTTCTGCTATATCTGATCCATGAATTAGTATTTTGTGAAGTGTTGTTGACATATTATACCATGGGTAATTCATCACAAAAAAAGAAGCTGTTTTAATGCAATACGATTTAAATTTATTTGCATTTATTTTGTAACCACTTGAGATTACTCTCAAAATGACGTGCAGGCGATTAATGAGCCGATAATTTACTCCTGTTATTTCAGCAACTTCTTCTGCATGCTGAAAGATAACTCGTGAAGTATTCCCATCAGTAGATGTACCTCCGCCCTGTCTTGGTTTATCAACATGCAACCCAAGTTTTTGCCAAAATTCTGTTTGTATGCGGCGCTTTTCATTTGCTATTAAAAATTGACTATGAGCATCTCTTGCTTGCCATTTAGCAACTTTTAATTTATATCCTAGGTGCAATATGAACTCCGCAAACCTTATCCAAGCATGTAGTGATGAAATACCATACTTAAGGTTTTCTGCCAGGATCGGTTTTGATATGCAAAATTTTAATCTATTGAATTCTTTCGATGTGAGTTTACAAATATAACAACGCATGGCAGATTTCGTGTCTGTCAAGGCATTAACCATCTTCCCATCAACCATAGTCATTATTAACTTATGTTTAACAACACATTCTCTCTCCATTTCGACAACCGTTGGTGTTAAAACACCAATCTCAGATTGAACACTTTGAGTTAGAGTTCTTGAAAGTTCTGCGGTTTCATGAGCCATTTGTAACTTTAATGGACGGCAATACCGAGGTGAGGAGGGGCGTGGATTTTGCCAGATGAGTACTGTTGTCCCATCGCCATAATCATAAATAAGTTGAACTGGCACAACAGAAGTAATTATCATGTTTGCATCAGATTCTTCAACATTTTCGAATCTCTGTTTATACTCGGAATGGCAGCCTGACCCATCACATCCCCATTTTGATATTAGGCAAAGATTTTGTAATTGATTCATTGTAAACGATTGCATAACTTCACTAAGAGACAACAATAACCTTTGTGCAGTATGGTCCATTATATTTTGAAGAGGAACTGCAGCACTCGTTTCAGTACAAAAAATACCTTCTGGATAACACCTCTTTTTCGCTTCTGTTACAGTCTCATAATTTGGATACAGACTGCAGTTCATCTCCATTGCTGATGTTCTCAAAGTGTTGTACTGAAATTTGGACAGTTGTCCTTCAATCACCAAGGATAACGCTTTGTCTGACGAAAGGCTTTCATGTATTTTGGTAACGTTAAAACTGCTACTAGTACCAGTAAGAGCAACTTCCTTAATTACTTTTGACTTGTGGATATCACCACGTACACGATATTCTACCTGAGCTGCAAAAGCAAGTTCTTGGGGTTCTAGTTGTTTCCGCACATCTTCTGTCTTTCTACGTTTTGTACGTTCGGTACATTCTTCAAAGCTTTTACGAGGTCGGCCACCAAGTCTGCCTTTTATCTGTTGAGCATGAGTTGCAACTGGAAATGTCACATAGTTTTCGAACCAGTCTTTGTTGGCGTTAACACAACGAGAATAATTTCTATGTGCTTGAGTAAGTTTAGTTTTATAATCACTCACTAATCTTCTAAGGGATTGCTTTATATCATTTGTAAGTTCATCGACTTTCAGAGCACTTTTTTTTGCAAAAAAGTCATTTTATCTTGCTCCTTTTTGGAAGTTTCCTCTCTGTAAAAGGCAATAAGAGTCTTTCTGCTAAAGCTTACTTCCTCGTCAGTTGACCCTAAAACAAAATTAAACCAAAATTGAGCCAAAAATTAAATAAAAGACTTGAGATAAATACTTTTTTTGTTGGTACGTCTATAGCATCCAGTACAAACGTGGTTGATTAAAACGAAAATTTTGTTAAACCGTCGCTTTGGGTCGCATGAAACTGCACTTGTATATTAACAAACAAAGATCGTACTCTCTAAAAATATTAATACCAGTGCCGGATCACTCGGGAAGTGACACTTTACCCTTATTCAAAGCTTAAAAATTGCAAAAAAAAACATACTGTCAGAGAAGTTATTTTTTTAACACAAATTATCTACTATTACTAACAAAAGTAAATATTAAAAAACAATTTATTACCTCCTGGAAGCGAATCCATCGTAAAAACTAAAACTTTCAAGCGAAAAATTATTAAAATCGTAAAAATCAAAAGCACCACTTTCACTCGTAAACGCAACCGCTGTTGATCAAGTTGAACTTTGGAATGAGACCCAAGCGCGCACACAACAAAGGGTGCGCGCCGCTTGCGCAGGTAATATGTATTGTTTATCAGGCTAGTCGGTAAAACAGGTTTCAACATCTTTGGAGTACTTTTAAGTTTTTAGGTTTTGACCGACTTTTATTGATTTTTCGCCTGTGTGGGTCGGGACAGTTATAAACCCCTAGTATAGTCAATATCATATTTCATAGCAGCGGCGAATTTATTCGACTATTTTGTAGTCCTCAAAAGGAAATTCCCTTGGGTTAAAATGAAATTACAATTCAGAGTGAATAACAAATAAACCTGCCGACAAAACAAACATCGCTGTCGACTTCTAAATTTACGTCATATCAAATTATAGAAGGCAAGTTTAACGAGGATTGCACTACAGAATATTCCTAAGAGTTGCCTACTTTTAAGCATAGCGCTGTGCAACTAGTTATGACCATACTTTAATATCCTTATTATTAAATCCAACAAATTTACAAACTTATTGTCCGTTATTATTTATAGGCATCCTTAACCTACTTGCAAAAGTTGTCTATTAATTTCACGACCGATTCATGAGCACATTAATGATTTTAATGACTGAGTTGCTGCAGAGATTCTCCAACAAGACTGGCGGCCTTGTCTACCTTATAATTATATTTCAGATATTCTTGCAACCTGCACTGCAATAGTTACTTCTTAGGCGTATCTATAATAAGCCTATTGAGACATCCTAACACTTTTTCCGTGTACTTATACTCGTATAGGCCGATATGTTTCGTCTCGACAAGACTTGAACAAACTAGTTCTTAAAACATAAAACACACGATAAATTTTCTTTGTGTAGTATTGCGTTCTAATCTAACTCTAGTTAGAATCTAGAGTCTTATAGAATAATAGAATAGAGAGTCTAGAATAAAGATATCCTTATTCTAGTCCAGTTTACACGTCATGACGAGATAGAATCATACGGGTACTAAACACTATCTCAGTGACCGGTGCAAAGGACATCTCGCAAGGAAGAAAAACAATGCGAATACAGATTTATCTAAACCAGTCATCTCAAGATGTTTAAGCATGCATTTACCTTTGTCTTAAAGTTTTATGAAACACTTAAGTCGCGGAAGCAATCTTCTAGGTTCTTTATTATGTCGTTTCTTGTGCACACACTCCTTAATCAACAAAGTCCACGTTAGATCACAATTTACATTCAATACTAGCTATGTTAAGATATGACGTAAGTTACGATAATTTATACGTTTTTATTGAATTCTCGTTACCTGTACGACAAGTCAGATTAGTGTTACAATTCTAAGGTTATTTTTTATAAAGATTATACACAAATGTACAATATGAAAAGAATATTCTTAACTGAACATCACATGGACAGGACACAATTTAAAATGCACAAGATATTAATAGGGTACTTTTTATAATCGTCACATAATATGTATATAGACATCTAAATATATAAATATTAATTATATAATTTACATAAGACCGTCATGTAAATGGTTATTAGCATGTACTAAAAACAAATGGCAATTAGCGTATTATGGATGATGCAAAGGTAAGGCACGAAACGATTTGACATTATTTATCATTAATTTTAGCTAGAAACATCACATACACAAGACAAGTACAGACAACATATAGAAACATCTAATAAAATTATTTGCACAAAGAGTTCATAAAAGGATAAACGGATGGCATAAAATTGTAACAATGCCATGCGTTTAATCATACGGTTACGTTATATTACATACATCTCAGGGGCATTTAACTTTTTATTCCTAATGTTTATGTATTAACTTCCACGACGTAAGTAAATGAAAATAAAATAAATAATCACGTCACGCCTTTGCATCGCTGAGAGCGTGACTAAAACGAGTCTAAGCGCACAAAATGCAAGGCTATGTTTTTACGAATATCTCGGTAGTTTCAAACAGAAAACTTACTACCTACTGGTTATATAATTTCTTCGTTAGATCTTAACTTAGCAGATCTTCCACAATGTTTGCGAGGTTATTTAAAAAGGGGTGCTAGAACCGGAACATAAATGTATATGAATATGCAAGCGCATTTTGTAGTGATAGTGACTGATTAAAGAACGAAAGTCGACAATCTTGTTTTACAGGTAAAACAAGATCGCCGACTTTGATCCTATGCGACTGCGAATGTGATGCGTCACAAGCTTGGTCATGGATTAATAAGGCAATAACCGCCAAAAACCTTTTCACTTGCCACAATCATAATATTTATTTTATATGTAGACACATATAAAATAATGCATGAAAAATGTAATAATAGAGAGTATTATACCAGTAATCGTATTAAAACCCTTAGGGCCTGTCCGCACAGCGACACCGCGCGTTTTTTTTTTCCATTAAGTTCTGTGACACGTGGGAGTACCCCGTGGGATGTATGTGTATGGTATGGATTTATTTCCGCCCGATTAAAAACCTCGAAATATCGCTGTGCGGGACGGGTCCTAAAACTGAATGAACCACAGACTGAAAAATAAAGTTTTATTCTAAATGAATAAACTTGTGTTACATTTAGGCAATAACTAGCTAAAAAGAAGTTAGATTTGGATCGTTTCTCTAAACCAAGGAGATTCGGTAGATTAGTCATGACCTTCTCTCAGTTTTTACAGACCATCTTAAGAAGTGAATTTTCATTGGTGTATAATAAATTTGCTCACAGGACTATAAGAAACCGTTGGAGGAGAGCAGCCCGGCAATCCTCAACGCTAGTAAGATCCAGACGTTGTTCCACCGACTGCCCGACATCCTGCAATGTCACCTACACTTCCGAACCGCGCTAGCCGACTGCGCGCGCACGTGGGACCGCGATGAAAAAATTGGTTAGTAAACGTACCATTGCGATACTTGGTACCTATAATATTCTATTAATATATCATCATAACACATCGGCATTTGGCTACATTTTAAATATTTATGACAAAAATAAAACATGAAACGGCCTTTCGTTCTTTATGAGTCGTTTTTAATACTTGACGACTAGTTTTATTTCAAAAACTAATTAACTTTCTATTAATTATTTTACCGATAGACTAAAGAAAAATTATTTAAGTATTGTTAACTTACGCCCGTAAGGGTCAGTCAAAAAGAATTTTGACTCCGCCCTAAATATATTAACGCAAGTAGATAAATAAAACCGATGCGGGCAGAGCTATAAAAAGAAACATTTGTAATAGATTGCTTTGAGTATCGTAATTAACCCGCACTTTGCGATAAAAGGAACGAAATAGTTTGTCATATTACAAAAAAATTTTTTAGAAAATGCAATGTTTTTATATGCTTGATGTACGTCTGGATGACTGTAAGTAAATCAAAAACGTTTTACCAAATAATAATCAAAATAGAACGAGCCGTGTTATAAGGCTGATATCACTGAATGATACAATTGGTAGGATTAATACCTAAGAGTCAAGACATAACCTGGACTACGTTTTCAAATATATGAGGAAATATTTTTTTCTGATTCGATCAGAAAAAAAGTTAATTGTTATTTAATGACAAAACGATTCGTACATGCATTTTAACAAAAAAAAATGGTGTGCATAATAGTTTTTGTACAGACAAACTTACACCTTCTAGATTCATACAGAGGGTAGTTTATTTTTGCATACTGTACAGTACTGCTACTGTTAGTACAGTAACACATATATCACTGACTGGTAACAGTTAAATACTTAGGGGGATGTCCTGTTTTACTTTTTTAGTTGTAATCTGTAAACATGACTTCGTTGTCTATTTTAGGCGAGGTCTTCCTCAGCGCGTTCTCAAAGGCTGTGGTGTTGGACGTGTATTCCGACTTCATCAATAACTTCTCCGTTGCTATGGAACTGGCAAAGATGGAGTCTAAGAGAAAGTCAGCCTTTGCTGACTTCTTCAAGGTGAAGCAAATCAGCGCCCACGATCGTTTATCTTTCTTTGGATTGATGGTGAAACCGGTACAACGGTTCCCCCAGTTCATTATGTTTCTACAGGTAATAAATTTCAACTACATACTAAATTTAGTAGATACATAATTGTATTGTACGTATAGTATGGGGATCATAAGCAATTAGGATATTATATTTCCCTACTAGAGCCTCTAATCATCGAGATGTGATTTAACTTTTGACTGCTGAATGCATGCATTATTCAAGAAAAAGTTGTTGTCTGGTACCTAAATATTTTTTATTTGGTAACTTTTGAACCTTACCATCCTAAAATCCTTAACTCCATACAAAGCTATTAGGAAGTTTCAGTATTCCGCCTTTAACGAGACTTCATCCCACTTTATTCAGCAGGTCCTAGTTAGTTGTAATAGGCAGATTAACTATGGATTTACGGATATTGTAATAATCGATTTCTTTGACCCCATCGCTATAATTCAATCTGTCAGAAATGTCAAACGGTACCTCTTACATTGGATGGACTATAATTACTTAACAAAAATTCAACATATTTCGTTTCGTCCTCATTGATGTCATGATTATTTGAAATGTTTCAGGACCTACTAAAACACACTCCCCCGGGCCACTCAGACCGCGTTTCCCTCCAACGTGCTTTGACGAGGCTAGAAGCCCTAGCTGATGCATTGAATGAGAGGAAACGAGACGCTGAACGGACCCAGGTATAAAACAAACATCGAAAATTACAAAGTACCTGAAACGTTAATGATAACCAAAGAAAAACTATAATATTCTTAATTTGAAAATGTATTTACAAAGTATGTTCTCCTTGTATTTTGTCAGGCGTTCCGCGCTGCTCTGCGCCGGTTGACCCGCGGCGGAGTGGCGGGCGCGGGCGGCGCGGGGGGCGCGGCGCGCTTTGGGGCCGCGCGTCTCTTGGCCTCCCGCGCCGACAAGCGCCATCTCTTGCGGCAAGATGATCTACTGCAATTGGTGAGTACTGTCAATATTTATATATGACAACAGACAATAAGGAATCGTCGACATGGCAAAATCCATACACAGAAAAAATGATGTCCCGTAATTCCCATTCATTAAGATAAGAACGTGTAACCTAAAGCTTTAAACTTTCAATTCGTTAGAATCGTAGAAGACCCTTTTGTAGACGGAGAGATACCTAAACGTCGAAGTGATTTTGTTTTCTTAAATATACATGGTCTTGTGGTATAACTATTATTAATTAATTACGTTCTAATGGGAATTAAAACATACGATGTTTTTGTAACATTCTCTGGTTCATTCATGGTAACATAAAAAATATTGTTACAGGAATTCAGCCAATCAGGTGGATTATCGAAATGCAAGCCTCGACGGCTGCTGCTGTTGAACGATCTGGTGGTGTGCGTGTCGGTGGGCGCGGGCAGCGACGACGCGGAGCGGCTCAGCCTCAAGTGGGCGCACCCCGTGCAGGACGTCGACGTGCTCGACACCGGCACCTCGCCCACGCTCAGCAGGGTCCTCGCTCAAGGTACACCTGTCTAACAAACCTTGATAATCAAGTACTTACTTTAAAATATTTGAATTTACATCTGGAATATGTATAGCCTACTATGATAAGTAGACGATAAGCGTTTTAACAGGTTTTAAAGCCTGCTTTGAATGCCATCGAGAACAATCTCAGTCAATCAATCTGAATCAACTCAATCAGATCACGATGTGACATTTTCAAAATTGTCATGAGGTCTCTTCTTACAAAAGAAAAGTATTAGTGCATCCAGTAAAATAACAGTTTTAATTTCCTTTAGGGTTCATCTCGATTTGATTCGGTATTTTGTTTTTTTTTTAACTTAAGTTAATAAAACTTGTGTATTGCGACCTCTACGTTATTATGCACCGTATAGATATCTAAATTGATTGGTCTCTCGAGTATCGTGTAATAAAATGTGTAAGTATGCGTCAGGTATGAACCGCAGCGGCAGCCTCCGGTCGAGCTCTAGCGGCGCGACGAGCGCGTCGGCGGGCGACTCGCTGTGCAGCGAGATGTCGGCGCTCATGCACGACTACGAGACCGTGTCGCGCATGGCCGACCTCGCCGCCTCGCTGCGCATGCCCTACCCCGAGCTGCCGCCCGACACCTTCCGCACCCTGCTGCAGAACATACAGCGGAGCATACAGGTACGCTCTATCATACACCGAGTCGGACAGAATCTCTATCACACACACTTCGTGTAAAAGTTCTGCTACAAAGATTTCTGTTGACCGAAATCCTTTTTCTTCCATTGCCATTTCTTTATCTGCTCTGTGGTACCTTTCGCATTAAATATACTGTTCATATAAAAGTATAAATATAAACTTGTAAGTTTTTACGTGTAACATTTTATTTCGATGAAGTAAAGTTTATTGAACGGTTGAATCGACAGAAAAAAGACGACGAGATGGCGTGGGTGGACTCGTGCTGCCTGCAGCTGACGATCCGCGGGCGCGAGGAGCCGCTGACGTTCCGCGCCAGCGAGCCGGGCGCGCGCCTCGCCTGGGCCACCGAGCTGCGTCTGGCGCAGCTGGCGCAGGCCTCCGCCAACTCGCCCGCCTGGCGCCTGCCCTCGCCGCACGCGCCCGCGCACAAGATGCCGCTCTTCGTCGCAGCCACGCCCGTCTACGAGTCCAGGCAGCTCACCGAGGTATGTCCCATGGTTTTTTTAACGAGTTTTTTGAAATAAAGTACTGAAATCGAATACGTGTCTCGTCACGGTCGGATTCACTCGCAAACAGATTTTTTACATCATTTTCAGCGAACCGAACGGTTACATTTAGACTGTAGACGTGTAGATCTGTGAACGATATCGTTCTTCTCAAACTCCTGACACTTACTCTTGAGCACCCGCGATCATAGTGAAAAATAGGTACGTTGACATTACACGGGTTCATCTAGGAAGTGTATCCACGCACTGAAGTATTCCTTTTTACCTGAAGTAGAGTGTAGTCGTCTGGTGAGTAACGCGCGGCCGTCCCCCAGGTGCGGTGCGGCTGCTTCTACACGGCGAGCGGCGGGGCGCGCGGCGCGTCGCTGCGGCGCGCGCGCTCGCTGCTGTGGGTGAGCGCGGCCGGCGCCACCGACAGCCACGTGACCGTGCTCACGCACCGCGCCGCCAAGCTCAAGACGCTCGTCACGCTTGACCTGCCCGACACCAAGGTACGACCGCCTCTCCTTTACTGTACTCTTTATTTGAAAGCTCATAACACCTGGCGTCTAATTATAACTATGGCTACGAAAACCTTTTGATTTAGACATTTTTTTATTCAAGCTTCTTTGACTTGTTCTATAACTTAGTTAGTACCGACTTCGCTCTGTCGAGTTATAGGCTTGTCGTAATATAATAAAAAAAAACGTATTTCAGAGTGATCGCTGTGTTCCTTGATTTACTGTCTCAATAATGAGCAAAGATAACTAACTAACACACTGGAAAAATTATCACCAGATTGGTTTTCGAGAGAAACGAAAGTTTAAAAACAACCAAGCAAATGCCACGAAGTCGTGATGACTCGTACATCAGCAATATTATTTTCTTTAACGACACAATTTTCTTCTAACTTAATTTTAGAGCATAAGACAGGAATAGTTTAATATCCTAATTAAGTTAATAATAATTAATATTTTCCAAGTAATTTTTACGGTTTTTTGTAAGAATTTCTTTGTGCCTTGAAGAAAATATTTAAAAAAATAAGCAAAACAACTTTTATTAAGTTAATATTTCGATTTTTATCATTACAGATTACGTCAATGGAATACGCTCGGGGGGTAAGACAAGTAACGACGCTATGCGGCGACACTGTCTGGGTCGGTACGGAGGATAGAAAAATAATAATATTTTCGGCGATCGAACCCGAGAAACAAGAGAAGTTAACGGAGGTGCCGACTATCGCAGCGATAACACAGATTCGTTATCACTGTGACGCTATGTTTGTGGGACTCTCTAACGGTCGCGTATCGGTGTACAGAAGAAACCACGACGACTCTTGGGCCTTGCAGGAGCCCCTCGCTATCGAACTGGGCGATAAACCCGTCCACTGCGTACTACCTGTCGACGGTATTATCTACGCCACTTGCGCTCGACGAGTGTTCGCAATCAATGCCCTCACGGCCGAAATCATTCGTATACTGGAACTAAAAGGTGACGGCGATAGGTCCGTTAAGTATCTGGCGCACTCAGGTGTCGGCCTCTGGACGGCGTTTTCGGATTCGACGTACGTGAGCTTGTATCACGCTGAGAACTTTGAACACCTACAAAATATTGACATAGCCGCGGATGTGGCGAAAACTATTGGAGCGAGGGAGGGAAGTAAACCTGCTTACATATCTGCGTTATTAGCCGGTCAAGGCCTGTTATGGGTGGGTACTACGGCGGGCATCACCGTGACAGTCCCGTTACCAAAGTTAGAAGGTCTTCCATTAATCGGGGGACACATCGCTGCATCGTACCACGCGCATGCGGGTCCCGTTTCTTTCTTGCTTTCGCTTTTACCCGAAAATAGAGACGTAGACGTCAATACGGTACGTCGGAATCTTTCTAATGCCCGCGCTATGGCTGTGACAGACACTCTACAAGAATTCAAGGAAGAGGATGGAAAAGAGGATCATGAGAAACCAAAACTTGAACGACGGATTTCGGAAGATGTCAGTCCGTATCGACCACAGCGCGTCCAATCGGCTGTGGTACGAAGAAAAAAACCGGGTGACGTTCGACTGAGTAAAACTTTACCGAAATGTGCAAATTTAAATGCTTGCGACGTCTATGGACTCTATGGGGATTTGATGTTTGTAAAAGACTGCGTCGGAGAAGCGGATGTAAGTGGTTCAGGAGGTGAGGCCTTACGGCGGAGTGATCCAGAATTAGCGGCCATTCCATACCGTGTAAGTACCCTTGACAGACGGTTACGGATGCGTGCTGGACGACCGCGTTCTCTTGATCTGTCGAGTTGGTCAGTCGACTCGCGCGCCTCTAGTCTTTGCACATCATCCGGGAGCGAAGAATCCATGGCGCTACGTGGTGTATCTAGAACCAGTTCGGGTGCATCAGGGGCGGCTGCCCTCGCACCTGTAGCCGCTTCGACTCCAGACTCGAGTTCAGGGAAATCTAGTGGTTCTGAGCGTTCCTCTAGAACAGAAGTGACAGGTGTAGAAGTGCGGACGGAAGCGAGAAATGCCGCTCGGAGCTTACGGGGGGCCGACTATGTGGTTGGCGAGAGCACAGCGAGACGTTCTGTGTTAACTGTAGTGGGTGGACGAGGCTACGTAGACTGGAGGCAGACGGCAGACGCGGCCGAACGTCCCGCGCCGGCGGCAGACCCCAACCCGAAAGACGCCCATCTTATTCTGTTTGAGATGCGATTGTGACCCGCTCTGGATGTAAATCCTAATTGGTTGTGTAGTGGTGTTGACGGATGATGTGTTCCTGATCAGTGATTCACGTGTCATATTTAATTTTTGATGGCCTGTATATATAATGCTAGTGCATAGCTGTTATTATATTATTGTTTAATTACGATACGCTTATGCTGGAACACTATCACATCCGTTTTAGGGCTACAGTGACGTTTGATTGGTGAATACGTATGTTATGCTGAGGGTAACAAATTTGTAAATTATGCAAAGCTTTAAATTATTTTTTGAAGTTGGGGCTATTGAACCGCTGGCTCGACGTATACATTGGTTTTTATTCACTTAAGAAGTGGTGCATTATTCTTGTGATCTTCTATTGAATGTTATTAGTAATCATAAATGTTATAAAATGGGTGCGTTTTATTTAAATGTATATATTTAGCGTCGCGTGATGATTGTGCCTATTTTTCATTTAAGTGTTTAGATGTATTTAAATTTGGCGATCAGCATAAAAATGTTTTCTTTTTATTTTGATCAAAATCATAATACCAACAAAGTAAAATTAAAATTTTCATAATTATTGTTCAAGTATGTATTTTTAAAAGTCTTCAACGTTTAAGTATTCAATACAATCTAACCAAAGTTTGCACTAAGCATTACTCTTAATTACTTTCGATGAAAAGAACACAAATCATTTGATGCCAATTTTCTTTTAGGGTTTTTTTATGTAAACATTTTTTTAATACAGTGTTCTAAGTTAGAATCTGTTTCAAATTTTGTTATTATAGTTAACATTTTCATGATACCATAAATCTCTTTTTAATGATTTTTCAATAAATCATTACTAATGTATTATTGAATTGGACTTTAACTAAAAACATTCAACTTTCGTTTTTCAATACGTGATAACCGCCTTTGCATTAGATGTATTCTATTTTTTAAATGATTGGCATCACTATATGTTTATATACATATACAATAATTTATAATTAGGGTGTAATACTTAACATAACTAATTATATTTTTAGTTCTCGATGTTAATTGGTTTGCATAACTTATTAATATATTATGGTGGCCTTAATACTTGAAAATTTCCAGTGTATAATTTGTATAGCATTTTTTTATAAGCTTTATTGTTAGACATATTAATGTCGCTTTAAGAATTAGACTGATTTAGCTAAGCGTTAAAGAGTACTGTTAATGGATTTTTAGCGAATAAGGTAAACGACGTTGAAAACCCCCTCTGTGCATTTTGAACTATTAACAATATATGATAATTTGCATTTCAGACCAAATATGCAAATATTGTATTTCGATCACAAAAGCCTTTACATTTGATTAATTCGAACATTTTGTTAATATTTTCTTTTTTATATTATCTACAATTTGTTATTAAAATTGGGTAATATTCCGTCTTAAAGTGTACTCAATATTGTCAATGTTTATTATTATGTATTATAATACATTTCAAATCGTCGTTATTTTCTCAATACCTGGTTTTCTATCAAAGTTAATTGTTACTGTTTGTTTTCGGTCAGTACTCATAAAACAAGCATTTTTGTTTGCACGCCCAAAGAATTTGCTATTAAGTCAGGTGTTACAGCTTTTAATTGAAATCACAGGAAATTTTAATGTGCCAAAATGTATAGTAACGTGTTATGTTTACTTATTTGTGTACATATACTATGTACATATTTCAGAGATATATCATTTATGACATGCGTTTCATGGCTCATGTACTGTGCACAAAATAAATTGTTCATTTGTCATTAATACTACATCAAAAATAAAATGCCTCAGTAAATATTTATGTAAATAAAACTGGAAAGTGAAACAAATCTCGAATATGCTGCTCGAAACCGTTTTGTTGACCTATGTATTAACCATTGGGAATTATTTATGTTGCAAAACGTCACAAGTGTACTTTTGTGTAAATAAATTTTAAGTTTATACATATACACACTCTATACGTTGGTTTTATTTACCTTTGCTTATTTCATCATCATCATCATATCAGCCTATCGCAGTCCACTGCTGGCTTATTTACATATATTAAAACAACTTTGAATAATGATATTCAGATCAAATAATGTTAAATTTGCAACCACTCACTTAAATCTAACCGAGACTACTCTAGGCACGTAGATAAGAGTAACATATATTAGGTATTTTTAAAAGGACTAAATCAACGTGCGTGCTACACTACTGCCTACCGTTTTACCTTCAAGACTTGTGAAGATTAGATACCTATTTATCTATTAGGTACAGGAAGGGATTTTTTCAGTCATTCCTATTGCTGGTAATATGATATAAGCTGTTATATCCATAAATAGACAAAACAGCCGTTTTTCTTTAGCATTTCACAGCTGTTAGTAGAGTAGTCCAACAGCATAAATGTTATTGTACCGTAATATCGTAAAGATAAATTGTAAATAGTTTGTGCAGAGACATAAATTATTATTACGAGAAATGGAAAGTTGATTTTTAAAAGAAGCGGTGATTTAAGAATGATGAATGGTGTGGTGGCGGTGATGAAGATGAAGCACACAAATTCAAATCTGCTATGTAACAATATCAGGGAAGCGCTCCTTAAACGCGGGGTCCCACGCGCGGCCATAGCGTTTAAGTTTTGTAGGTTGTGAAGTCCAAACATTAGGCCTTTATTCATACTGTCTACATTTTCTTCGAAGTCTTATCAGTGGTTAGCAAAAAGAATGGGACCTCAAAGGGGCGACAAAAACAGAAATCGAAACGAAAACGTAACAGTCTTATTATTTGCATGTCTAATATATTTTTATTATGTCATAACTCATAATAGTAACATCTATTGATCGGTGTACGAAAATAAATTCAAACGTTTATAATTATTATAATAAGGATGTATAATTTGGATCAAACAAGGCGCGGGCGCGGGATTCCCAAATATGGGATATTTGGGAATCCCCGGCCGATAGTTTTACAGTCAACAACTTATGGGCTTAATAATGGCACGCCGTTGTTGCGGCGGTAAGACCATGTTTCGACCGCACGGCCATGGTTAAACCCTTACAACTTTCTGAATATTGGATCTACAAATTTTAATTTGATCTTTGTATTTGCTCTGTGGGGCAAGTCGTACCCAAATTTAAATGTGTAGACTGGGCCCTTTCGATGATAAATTCCGTAGTGGTTTAAGTCACAGAGTACAGCAACATTATTACTTTAAGCGGTCGTCTCTTTTTCTACTGCGCTGAGTGTTTTGGGTTCGATTCCCACATGGGACAACACTGTGTGATCCACAAATTGTTGTTTAAAGTCTGTGTGGCAATTGTGTCCGTTTTATGAATATTTGTAAAATACCCCGCGACAAAAGATGTATTCCTAATGCGAGAGTTGTCTTTTTAGTAAAAAATAATTGCAAAAACTTACATCCTTTGTCATTTTGAGTGTGTGTTCTAATGCGTATTTGACCAATAACAATTCATCCTAACAGAAGAGCTCCAGACAGGTGACAGAACATGTCCAAGACACACTGACACACCGGAATCCCCAGTAGTGAATAGGTCCATTAGGGCTTGCAATAAAAAACACCTCTTATGATGCCTCTTTGTAGTAAGTTCTTGCCTTCATAAATAAAAGACAAGAAGCTTTAAGACAGTCTATTAAAATTTGTTAATATAATAAAGCTGGTTCTTATTCCGGAGAGATTTTGGGTGTAGTCTTGTGGTTAACTATGGAAGCCCTGTAAAGAAGATAAATATGAGTGAAATTCTTAACAATGCCAGGCAAGTGCCTGAGTTCTTGCTAAGTAAATAAAATCATCGAACAGTTTTACCATTATATAGTATTAGCATGAGTTTTTGTTATAGATGCTAATACATTCAGTTTGTTCCCTACATTGTTATTTTTTAGATTAAGGTAGATAATAATCTCAAACACGGTAGTCTGGTTCCAAACTAGTATGTTTCTATACTATGGTAACCAAACTGCTAACACTTACTCGTATATTTATGAATGTGAAAATTAGTTTGTTACGCTTTCACGCCTTACGCACTAAACTGATTTAAAAAAATCTTTCAAAAAAGGAAAAATACATTACTACTACTACTTTTTAAAGCGATTACCGACATAAAAAAAAGCTTCTCACAGCAAAAGCTACACATAGATTAATTACACCCAGACAGAACAAATGATCGTTCTCATCACACAAACATTTGTCCTGGGTGGTAGATAGCTTTTCTTGACAATGAACCCCATCTTATAATTGTTACCAATACTATATCAATGTGATAGTGTGGCAATCTTACTAAATTCTGAGACAGAACATTTTACATATATTTGTATTGCTCCATTATTTTACTCGACTAGATATTTAGATTACGTTCGGTTTTGCATACTTACGGTTACGTCGCTTACATTCTTTTAGGGCCTCATTAAATTCTGTGCACTCTTCCAAATTTTCATGGTTTGTAGCACAAGCCAAGAACTGCGATATTTCATAAGCGCAAGGTCCACTTGGCTCTTGGTTATAATTGTAGTTCTGTGGTAGCGCTTGTTCCACTTCATGTCGGTGATGACCACCAAATAACCCTGATATTGCACTGCCCGCCATATGACCCTAGTTTTCAGAGATAAAAAAATAATTAGTAAGTAGTATGATTCTTTTAAAGTTTTCATTTAAAAATTGGCAAATGTATTTTTCAGTAGGATCAACAGCAAAGTCTGGCGTGCGTCACACTAGCTCACAAATTCATGCATCTAAATGATTCAGAATCAGTCACTAGCATTACACTAGGTATCGCTAAACGGTATACAAGGTGACATTGAATCCAAAACCCTATTTGTTAGGTTTACACCTTAAGAAAACCATAGAAATTGCTTTTGCGCCTTCATAGTTACAGGTACATAAGGTAGAAACAGTAGACTAACATTATAATGATAAATTCATACCACTGTACTGCCGACAGCGACGCCTCCAGCTACTGCAGCGGCATCTTTGAACATGGATCGCCCGTGCGACGGAGTAGTAGCCATAGAGGGGGCATGAGCCGGAGGTGCATGGTAACCGGCTCTTGGATGGTATTGCGGCGGCGATGGTGCACGCCCACCACTGTTAAAGATCGAATGTATGTAAAAATTAGCTTAGAGGGTAACCGCTACTCCAGTCGACATATCTAACATACTCGTCGACCTAAAGAAGTAGATGGGTCCCATTGTCTATAAAAAGGAAAATCAATTGTTGACTATGCAATATCTATTTATTTATTTAAGGATCTTCAACAAGAATATCACATAGCATTCACAGAGAATAAAAAATTATTGATCTGGTGTATTCTTAATTACAGAAGATCACAGCCTTTTTTTACGTGTGGAAATCCCCTCGGACCGTCATCCCGCCGGGGCTCTCGTTCGGCGGGGCGGTGTGTCGGACTCGAACTGACTAAAACCACACGGTGTGCCCTCTTTGCGCTTCCAGTTTAGGAGGGGTCCAGGTAGTTATCGCCTTCTGGACCCCTACCAGCGCCGGCCCGCTCCTGATGCGGGCTCCGTCTCAGTGGACCCTCTCTTTAGGCGACGTCTGGCACACGCGGACGCCGCCCCCTCGCGGCTGGCCAACTAATGCGGGTGGAGGGGAGAACCCATCCCGTCCACCCTCGGCCACACTCAGGGCGGCATGAGGCGCAGGTAAGCGCGCCTCCGCCGCCCGGTTCGCCGGCGGCGGATCAGGTCCGAGTGGAGGTCGTCCTCCCGGGCCTTCTCCGCCGCCTCCTTCTGCGAGATTACCTCTTCGCAGAAGGTTGCGACCGCGGTAAAACAACTGTCGCTACCGGCCATGGAGCGAATTACGGCCGGTAGCGAGAGATCTGCTCCGATGACTGCAGTGAGGGCCCGGCGCTGCGTCGCCCATGCGGGGCAAACCGCCAGCGTGTGCTGGGCTGAATCCTCACTGCAGTCGCAGTGGTGGCAGGCGGGACTCGATTCCCTCCTAGCGACCGAGTACAGGTACTTTCCGAAGCAACCGTGCCCGGAAAGCACCTGCGTCAGCCGGAAGGAAAGGGTCCCGTGCTGCCGCCCTGCCCACTCGGCGATGACAGGCTGGAGAGCCTCCACGGCGGCGAAGCCAGCTCGTGGAGTCTCCAGCCGGAACGACCATCTGACCATGGTGGCTCGGCGAGCGGCTTCGCGCCACTCGCGCACGTCTTCGGGCGGAGGGCGAAATCCGCTCTCCGCCCGGAAGTCAGCCACTCGCCGATAAACTTCGGCGAGCACTTCCGCCTCCAAATCCCACGGGGGTGTTCCGGCCAAGGCGCAAGCCGCCTCGGTGGATACCGTGCGGTATCGGCGTATGGCTCTGACCGCCAATATCCACTGGGGGCGCCAGAGGCGCGCCCTATTCGGGGCGGTCAGAGCCGCCACCCACACCGGTGCACCATAAAGCGCCATGGACCGGACAACCCCCGCGTATAGCCGCCTCGTGGGAACACTGGCCCCGCCTAAATTGGGCAAAAGTCGCCCTAGGGCGGAGGCAGTGTCCACCAGCTTCGGACCAAGCTGTCGGAAGTGCTCGTCGAAGAGCCACCTACTGTCTAGGACCAGACCCAGGTACCTCATCTGGGCCCGGACCGGTGCGAGGACCGAGCCGACCTCGATTGAGGCGCCGGCGGGTTGACCACGACGGGGCCCATGAAATAATAGGGCCTCCGTCTTATCCAGGGCCACCCGCAAACCCAACGCCTCAATGCGCCCGACCACCAGGGAAACTCCCGTGGCGGCCAGGCGCGCCGCTGAAGATCACAGCCTGCATTAAGGTCAAACATTTGGAATCAGAAATTACTATTACACAAATTAGAAGTAAATAAATAAAATTAAAATTATAGGTATTATTATTTGGTTAAATATGTATATTGGTGGTCGACAGTGCAATGTATGCATATCAAAGTCTATTCCAAAACACACTAAATAAAATTATTGAAAAGCATAAGTATTGAGTCCTAAGCATCAGCTTAGTGAAAAAGTGCTCTTTTAATAATCCTACAGCAATCATGTTGTCCAGATAAAGGGATCCCTATTAGTTAATTAACTTGGATAGTAGGTAGATTATAATAGAAATAAAATACTTAATGTTGCTTTATGTGTTATTTATGGAGTTTGCATATATTTGTAAAAAAGTTACGTCGGTTTTTGCTTAACTTAAGAATATCAGCTTGTGTCAATCTAGGGTATGCCTGAAACAAAAGTAAAAGATCTTAAATAGCAAAACAGGTAAACAATTTAATTTTGGTAAAAATTTAATAGAAGTCCCTATGATAATTAAATTCAATCTATCTCCCATTTGAGAGTCATGTTTACGGGGTATTATAATCTCTGGTTCAGTGTAACAGTGTAAATAGAAATAAATGAAGGTATTCAGAGCATTCGACAAAACCTAGTTAAAACAAAAGTAAAACTTTTAAGGCTAAGTGTGAGTTTATCCCTCATCACTCGATTGTGTCGTTGTTCCGATTCGCCCGCACTGGTATCTTCACTAATCGCAACGTCGAACGCGTTCGCCGTCGAGAACCAGTTGATGTGAAATAAACTCACAATAGGGCCGCTGTTTTTGGCTGTAACCATAAGTACCTATCCTAAAGAAGCGCTTATCATTATATCTCAAAGTTGGCATAAAAACAACAGAGAACAAGAATGAATACAACGTACGGTTGCGTCGTTTACATTCGAGAAGTGCTTGTTTGAAACCTTCACATTCCTCTATATTTGGTCTATTTGTCGCACAGCTCAAAAATTGCGATATTTCGTAGGCACATGGGCCACTTGGCTCTTGATCATAATTATAGTTAGGTGGTAGTGCTTGTTCAACTTGTTGTCTTCTACCACCACCGAATAAACTCGTTATAGCTTCACCGGCCAAATGTCCCTAAAAACAATCATGAAAAGAGTTGACGAAAATAGTTAACAACTATAGAAAAGTAACCAATATTTAAAGGACTAAAGAAATAATATGAAGTTGATACATATGTATAATAAAAATAAACATTTCGGTACTTTTACTGAAGAATAAAAACTAAAATAATATAACTTTTGATATCAACGCCCTAATTATTAAAAGTCAATTAATTAGATTTCTCATTAAACTACAAATTAAGTGGATGAAACAAAATAGCGATATTTCTTATTCTGTAAAAAGTTGCGAATTTTGATAATCAGGCCGTCGCGTCGCGTCGGCGATAAGTTGATATACAATAAAACTTCATACCATAGTGGTGCCCACAGTGACGCCTCCCGCAACTGCAGCTGCATCTCTGAACACGGACCGCCTCGGAGCAACAACCATAGGGGGGGGATGCGCAGGAGCATGTTGATATCTCCGCGGAGAGTATGAGGGAGGTGACCCCCCCCTGCATTTACAAATAAACCATTGCATAATATAGGTGCCTAGCGGACCCCTTTAATGGCCGAGATAAGACCAGTCTAATGTGCACTTAAGGGGAAATCGTATAACTTCCTAAGTACTATTGTACCTATAATCACTGACACGTGTCTTGACGTTCTATTTATCAATTTAAATTGTTTGAAAAATATTCAGTATATTCAGTCTCATTGTTTTCCAATTACAATTTCTCGAAAAAAAATATTTTTTAACGAATAATCACAAAACAAAACGTTAAAACTTAAGTCTATCTGAAAAAAATAACATAGTGTGTCTCAAAGCCACTTCTTTAATTTGTTGTACGCAGTGTTTGTGAAACTTTAATAATGACATCAAATATATGCCAAAGATTAGCAGCAACGGGTGTTATTTTTGTGGCGACTCCCACATAAACATACTACAGCGCCATCTAATGAAGACACACCGAACTACGGAGTAACTACCAAAATAAGAATTGCTAATCCTGTATAGCGATATAAAGAATTCCCTCGCCGATTAGCATATATACAACTTCCCAACATCAACCGTTGGGCCGCGGTCCGCCAGGCATGATCACCTCGCCTGGTCGGAGGATCCTCCCTTTGTGTTGAAGGGACATGACACCCGTTCCTCCACAGTGGTGACCCCGACGTGATTGGAAGCAGCCCTTAAAAGAGCAGATCATCAGCAGCACCATCGTGTACACTCCCACAGTGATAAGCAGTAATCAAGTCTCAGCCAGCCAGCAACCTCGGCCTCTACAGGGATACCACACGCAGGTAGCGACCGCTCCAGCCTAGTTACCTCTACGGCCTCATCAGCGTCTAGGCACAGCACACTGCACCTACGGTCCACGTAAGAAGAGCATTTTCTCTCCCGTCTACGCAGCAGCCAGCCACTACGCAGCAACCGCCCCGACTCACTGGGGACTTCACCGCAGCACCACTCACTACTGGCACTGGCACGCTCCACAACAGGGCATAGACAGCTGACTCATCATATATCGACCACCGGTCTTGGAGGGGAGTGATGTGGCGACTCCCACATAAACATACTACAGCGCCATCTAATGAAGACACACCAAACTATGGAGTAACTACTAAAATAAGAATTGCTAATCCTGTATCGCGATATAAAGAATTAGCATATATATAACTTCCCAATATCAACCGTTGGGCCGCGGCCCGCCAGGCATGATCACCTCGCCTGGTCGGAGGATCCTCCCTTTGTGTTGGAGGGACATGACACCCGTTCCTCCACATTTTATTTGGCCTTTTGTTTCAAGATTCATATTGAATGAGCTGGTTAGTAGCAGTCCAGTCAAGAATCAATTAACAGTGACTATTTTGATACTATTTAGTAGCAAAATAGTCACTGTTTTGACCGAATGAAGGTTGGTTTTGAGTACATGGCTTTCAATTGTCTGATTACAAAGCCTTTTTTCACTCTATTCTCTACAGACTGATCTTCTTAGGATAAGAGGTAGCAGATAGCCGCACGCAAGGTGGATACAACGTTACTTTATTAGTAAGTCGCGAAGTGCTGCTGCTTCACCCACGGTGAGCACTCGACTAGTGGGTATAAATTGGGTATGGTGGGTTCCGACACGTAGAGCCAAAAGGCGACGGGCTGTACTGTCTGACAACTAGATATCATTATTACATTGTGTCTACTTTGTTGATCCCCTTGTAAAGTCCTCTTTTCATCTTCATCAATCGCTTGCATCAAGCACCAGCGATTCTTCAATCGCTTTAACATTTTCAGTTTCATCATCAGTTCAGTTTAGTGTTATATCTTCTCATATTAATTGGCGAATAATATGTACAAGTCACCTTCTTAATTAACAAACACATGAGTACAATCAAAATTTGCCGTTGCGATAATTTGCCCACTGTGCCCACTATTGCGTCACATCATTTTTATAAAAATATTAAATTATTCCGTTGCAATTAAAACTTTTTGAGCAGCCTATTTTTGTAAAAAAGCATAGGCTACGTTTGTGTTGATTTGGGAGGTTGATTCCCTTATATATTACTGCATCTCAAGTAATATTTTCTAAGGAATTTGTATTTTGTACGAAATTTTCCAAGTGGGCGACAACTACCCTAGAGTCTAGAGTTGGAAAATTTTAAAGGAAATTACCAAGTTACCCATTTTTTTTCCTGTGCAGAAATCCCCTCGGATACAACTTACCGGTCACAATGTCGGACTCGAACTGACTAAAACCGCACGCCGTCTCAGGTACCAGTAGTCGGGGAACCAGGTGTACCGTAGAAAGGAAATCCCTGGTGCACCGCCATCTCCTTCGCAAGCATAACTTGCTCGCAGAAGGAGACGGCAGAGCGCCACACACTCGCTCCGCACGATAGCCGCAATAAGGTTTTCGAGCGAGAGAACTCCCACTCCGATGGCCGCCACTAGGTCTCGCCTCTGCTCCACACACGCCGGGCATTCTACCAGCGTGTGGAGCGCCGTGTCCACGGTCCGACTATCGCAGTGGTGGCACTTAGGCGTAGGCTCCTTGCGGATCAGACACAGGTGATCTCCGAAACATCCTTTCCCGGTGATCACCTGGGTCAGTCGGTATGAGAGGGTCCCGTGATGCCTCTCGAGCAATCCTCCATAACGGACGCCGCGATGACGGCATGCCCGGCACTCGGTTGCCCAAGTCGTTCCCTTCACTCCCCTACGAGGAGCCGGCGAAGTTGGGATTTCCGGTCATCGATTTCTCGAGTCTCAGGACTCCTGACCCAACGCCCGCGCCTCCTTGCGCCACAACGGCTATACAGAGCCGCAACGGCTCTCGCCTCCAGGTTGCGGTTTACAGGCATAATAGTGTGTTGATCTATGACTTAAAGATTTCACATAAGACGTTTTTTAAACAATTCAACTGGCAACCGATACACAATAACCTACTACATTTACTGCTCTACAGGTGCTACTTTATAAAAAAACGACATAAAATAAACAACAGTATGGGTTTGTATTGTTAAAGTATATTTATATTATTTTTCTAAAAGTGACTTATGTAAAACATACCAGGCTATAGATTTAACATCACAATAAATCTTTATAAAAATATCACTAAAAATTTACTACAACTTTAAGGAAATTAGATTTACTTGAAGCTAAAGATAATAACTACTAGGAAGGTGCCGGTTTTTTGGTTCAAAATAAAATACTTTTATATTAAAAGAGCTTACAGACAAGCATCTATGAACATATTTCCTGTAAAATTCAGATAGTGAATATTTAAAGAATTTATACAGCATAATGTATAATTTAGTATGGCACCTTCAAATAATTGCACTAAACTTTAAATGTGGTTGTTGATTTTGCATTGACGCAATGCCTCATTGAAGCCTTCGCAGAGAGTCAAATCGTGTTGCTGTTGAGCACACTCAATAAACTGCTTGATCTCCCAAGCACAAGGCCCCTGCGGTTGTTGGTTCTGATACTGATTGTATGTCTGGGCAGCAGGCTGAGCAGGGTGTTGCGGTGCAGGTTCACTACTACTGCCACCACTAAACAATCCAGTTAAAGCACTACCAGCCACGTGACCCTGTAACAATAATATGTACTTAGTTTTCTTACTAGACTGTTGTAAATGTCTTGTAAAACAAGAAATATAAATAAAAAAATCAAAGTGAAACGAATAATGAAATACGCAATTACAATATTTATTGTGCAAAATATCAATTACTGTAAACAAAAACTCATTAATCATGCAACGTCACTATATACATGTGACCTCATCTCAACATTGATTGGAGTCATGCCAATCGTTTTGCAACTGTAAGTACAATTAACTTAAATTCATGAAAATTGCTTTAATTTTGAGGTTAGGGTCAAGTCACTTTTGAGTTTAAATTACGTAATACAATTACGTACCACTGCTGAACCGACGGCAACGCCGCCTGCTGTAGCTGCCATCTGACCGAACATCGACGGCTGCTGAGATTGTGCCATAGCTGGCGCCGGGGTAGATGGTGGCGCATGAGCCGGGACATTGCTTGGTGGAGGAGCAGCCCTTAAAACAATTTATTACGAACTTTATCTCCGCATGTAATATTGAATAAATTTCAATAAAATGAATATACTACTTACCGTCGCGGGGGTGGAGGCGGAGGATTAGATCGTCCACGTCGAGGCATCTTTTGTGTTTACTTTATTATTCCGATAATTTACACGACACTGTTAGTTCTTTCCGGTACAACACTTCTCGCAAAACTGACTGACACCTGGTTGTCAATTTAACAAAAGCTAGGAACAATCATTTTCTAGAAAGTTTAAATTTAGAACACTATCATTCACTCACTCTGTCACTCGTACAAATACATTGAGAGACAGAGACAACGTATAACTAAATCTGCCAAAGTAATTATTTTAATTCTGGATGCGTTCATTTTTAAAAAATTTCTTACAAAATGAAAGTGTAAAGGGCTAGTTGAATATTATTTCAATGGTTTTAAATATATCTCACAAGAAACAAAATCTTTATAAATACTGTTTCGATTCTTGATATAATACGAATCCACGACCACCTTTACAATACATAGCGGTGTTCATTTTTAGCAATAAATATAGTAAAAGTGTAAATAGAAAATGGTATTTACCTGCGGCTCTTACTTCTGCCGAACGGCATAATATTTTAAAAACTGGATTGTATTATATGACTTTTAGTGTGTGTAAAATACGTCGGTTTATGGCTGCCATTTTTTTCAGCATTTAATGTCGAACAATAAATTTTGTGACTGCAACCAGCCAGTAATATTATTATTCTGTAGAAATGAGTAGTTATATTTATTAGTAAATTTTGTTGTAAAGTCTGACTCTTAAATAGTTACAAATTCAATTTCTGAGTCATTTGCAAATATGAAAAAAGGATTTTATTAATAAACCTAGTGATTTATATCAGTGACATTCAACGATAAGAAGTGCTCTCAACTATTATTTTATTTGTGCTAAAGAAATACTCGGTTGGCTATTATAATCCGACTTTTATCCAATTTTTTAAACAAGTGTTTAATTAATAAGATTATTAGTGAAAATTCGATTTACACCTAGTAGGTTTTTAAACGTTGACAATTCTATATTGTTGTTTTTGAGTGTATTTACTACAATTAGAAACCGAATAGCTGAACCGATTTTTGCTATTATATTTATGGAATAGACTAATATTTATGGAAGTCTAGGGAAAGTAAGGTAAGTTAGTTCAGGTAAGGAAATTTAAAAAAAAAACTAGAAAAATAGGAAAAGCAAGAATTTGATTTTCCCATACAAAAGGTACTTTCATATAAATAGATGTAGGTGATACGAAGTTCACCGGGTCATCTATAATTTTGTAGTATCTTAATATTAATAAAGCTAATAAAGAATGCACCTGACTTACAATGCCCATACTGGTGTAACACCTCAGTGTTTGTGTGTGATGTTCTTGCCATTAGATAATATGGTTTTAGGATTGTTTGCCATCACAGATATTTTTTTAAAGCGTACAAGTTTAGAAGCATTTTATATAATTAAGTATTTTATACGTAAATGTAACTAAAAATACACGCGGTGTTAGAATTGTAAGTATTTTATCGTTTGTTCTGTAGTAAACAACGTTCTACCATTCGTTTCCATCACTAATAATATTGAATTTCTCTAAAAATATATATATTATAACTATAACTTAAATAACAGCATGCCACTGTTTATTTACCTATACCTACCATTTACTCGTCACACTCCGTCACAGTCAAAGTGGCAGGGGCGGCCACAGGCAGCCGGCGTAAGGAATGACTGGTTGAATGAATATTTAATTCATTCACAGAAGTCAATCAGTTCGGTCAAGTTACTAGTTACGCTTACGTATCTGTGGTCAGTTTATTGTGACTTTGTGACCGCGTGATCGTCGCTGTCGTGAACGTGAATTCTGGTTCTGTGTCTTTTCTTACGTTTTCGTAAATAATATTGAGTGAAAATGGGCGATATTCAAGCCGGTCAAAACTTATATGTATTCCTCATATCAGGAATTACAATATTTTTCTGTGTAGCACTACATGTGGTATACAAGATTGTATTCAGTAGCAAGAAAAAGGAAGCACTAAAACATGAAGTTGAGCCTGATACAGGTACATCAAAGTAGCTTAATTATTGAAAATAAGAGAAGTAAATTACTTGCAGTCTTTTTGTAACCGGACCAAAGTTTGGTTATATTATATTTTAAATGTGTGAAACGCTTCTCTTCTAACTGATCGCAAATAAATGCGGTTTGTTCAATGTGACTGTACGAACTCTTAACTGTACTCGAAGAATGCAGCTGACACAGTTCATTAATCTTTTTCTTAAGTTCATCTCGTTCTTACTTTGGTTCAGATTTATATCCGGACTTTTTTAATTCATAATATGCAGACTATGTATTCTTTACAATTTATAAATTAATAAACATACATATTTTCAAGTTTTCTTATCTTTGCACCCTATGTAAATTCAACAAATTAAATGAATCTTGAATAGAGGTGTAGCACAAATAGTACTTGTTATTACTTTAATTCAATAAATCTGGCTAAAAGTAAGTGCTTAATTGAAAAATAATAATGATTATTAATTACGAAAAACGAATTTCCCGCCAAAAATATTAGTTCATAAAAACAACGTCTGTAAAAAGATATTAAATATATTTTCCGATTACTATTTCACATTTTGAATGGGTATCCCAGTAAAAACTTAAGTTATTCAATTTCTAACCTAAACCACCATGTGGGTATATGTATGGTAAATGTAAAACTGATTATTTTAGTTCACTAATTATTAAAATAACCAGATTGAATGTCACAATAACTTTAATGTTATTATTTAAATAGACTTGCAAAATTTAATTCCATTTATTAGAGGGTATTTAAATATCAATAAATTTCCAGAGGTTTTCAAGAGTGCTTTGTTGTTTTGACCACTAAAGTCTAAACTTTTTGTAGGTATCTTAAACCAACATTGTTGTTGTTTTGCAATATATTTGTAACACTTACTATGGTAATGTGCTACTTCATAAGTTTTAATCTACCATAACATGGCACCTGGCATCTGAACAAATATTGTTGAATGAAATATTATTACACAGCACTTGGTTTATAAGTTAAATAATGAGACTGAATTTATTTATTAAATGAATCATTTATGCTAATATCAGTATGACTTGAATAAACTATTCATGTAATATATATTTTTTCATAATTTATAATTTTTGATGCTATTTCCTATATTTTGTTACTCTAAACAGATCTTGGCCAGGTGACTTACACAGGAATGTTGTTACTTGTTAGTTTTAGTAGTGTTCTTACACCATTGGCTCAAGATTCCAAGCTACTGGTTCAGATTCTGAAAATTGAACAACCAAGGAAAATAATAAAACATTTAAAACATTATTGGATTACTATTACTGTCAATGATATATTTAGGACTTTTAAGTATCCTTTTTGGTAAATTATTTGCATAACACATGGAATACTTACGAAGAAAACAGTAGAAAGTAGAAACAATTTTGTTTGCAAAAACGCAAATACATTTATTTCAATGTACAGTCACTTTCTCTAACCAGTTAAAATCAATACAGTCTTTATTGCATAAGAAGTTGTAAGGGTAAAAGAATTTTATACAGCTTTTAAATACCTACATATTATTATTTTTTACTCTGGGGTACATTTTACTTATTAATACAAATCCTTTTTACTATGTTGTAAGACCATGTAAATTTTTAGACTATCAAAATAGTATTTCGCAGTCGCGAATGCGCTTTAATTACGTTTAGGTGTAAAGATTGGCGCCTTTTGGTTCTGGAAATGTCTGTTTGATAATTTGAATTTTATCTAAGTTGAATAGATTGATAGCTTGTAAAAGGGTTAACTAATATCCTTCTAGAATAGCACATAATATAAATTGCACCATTAACGTCATTAATTGGCATTACCTATACCGTAATACTTAAATTCATGTGTATAAATACTTCAGACAGTTCTACTGGGTGTAAATCGTGCCGTCGTAAAACAAAACACCATCTGGCGCCAGCTGCTTGTCCATGTGCAGCGCAGTCTGCTTATAAAAAGCAAGCAATACAATAAATAAAGAAACTTTCACATAATCTACGAGATCTTTCCTCTTTCCGTTGTATTTTTCAGTTATAACATAGGCTACAAACTCAAGTTACTAGTGTTCACATTGTTGAACACTACTAACTCGAGTTCCGTCCGTTGTTGCCGTCTTTCAAAATCTCATATTCGCACGGCATTTAATGATTTTTTGGTGAAACAATAACCTCATTAAATAACACTGTTGCTTTTAATAAGATGGATAATTTTTTTTACACAAAAACATGGGTATGAATAAGAGAGCACAAAATGAGTTTATGACGTGTTTGCTTTACAAATATATTAGTAGAATGACTAATCGTGAATCAATGTGTAGGGATCTATGTGTACATCTATAGATGATCGGTTAGATATCTTTTGTAATTTATATAAAATAAAAATGATAACATTTTGTTTTCCTTGAAATTAATGATACACACGTCAAGGAAGACAAAATGTATCATCAAAAGTCATGGAGAAACCAATCTAAAATTTTAACATATTTTCCTCTTAATATTATGGATGGTACGGTATGTAAAATATCCACGTTTCTAAAACGTTGTAAATCTGCACCAGAAACGATACGACAGACGACAAAAATGATACCTTGATAAAACGCTGTACTTTTAATTGAGGTATCATTTTTGTCAAGATTTGAAGAGAACCCATGTTTACATAACGCTCTCTACGTCAGAAACTGTATATTAGTCTGAATTGTGTTGCCCGTTACTCATGACTGTATAACGGTATTCTTATAAGCATAGCCTACCTCATTTAAAGCCATTAGGTTAAATGAAAAGAATTTGAATCGTGTTCGTCATCACACATTATAATTTTTTCTCGATCATCAGCCATTATTTAAGAGTTAGCATTGGTGTCATTGCAATATTTTCTATAAACTTTATATACCTATCGAAAGTCATATTTTATAATATTATAAACAAGAAAATAATTTTGGTAGGTATATAACAAAATGTAATACCAATAAAATAAGCTCTTCAGGCTTCTCAAATGGCAGGTATTGTGACTTACATGCCTATATTTGTCCCGATTATTAAGAGGCAAAATTTTTACATTTACACGCTTTATTACAACTGTAATTTAACGTAACATATACATATTATCATCACTGCAATAATGATTGAACAGAATCCAATGAAATACCTAGTGCTGTGACGCTGCTAGTGTATTCATCTCTTTTTTTATTATTGAATATACTGAGTGCAAGGATCTTAAGTTCATTACCCCTTCTCAACCGTGCGAAACACCGCTTTATGTATTAAGCATAATGTAATACTTTATTTTAGGAGCTCCCATCGAAGAGACGAATTCCGATGCACCCATAACTGAAAACCGGACTTTGGGGAAATCAAAGAAGCGCGCACTCTGGAAAGGAAAATCCGAATTCACTCACCCATGGCTACTCAAGAATCTCAAGGGACACCCTGGGACCGTGCTTTTAGTAGACTTCTCTGCCAATGGCAAGTTCATGGCCGCTACCTGTGATGGTAAGTTTCCTTATATCATTTGTACTTAACTAACCTATTCCATATTCTGAATGTGTATAAATTATCCTGAAATAGTAATTGTTATACTGATAATTTTAATGTAGGTGCATAACAAAATGTTTAAAGACTAAATTATGTTAACACAACGGTAACGTTAGTCTAGCGAATCGTACGTGTGTTAGCCTATTTTGAATATTTGAATACTGATTAAATAAATTCAATGTTAATAAAGAGGCCATTATTATGTAGACTGTATAACAAGAAAGTAAAACTGTATATCAATAATAATGGCATACATTGTTTTTTGTATGCATTTATACACATTCAAAATAAATCTGTAATCATTGCAAATTATTTACAATAATATGAATGAATAAATGAAAAATACTAAATCTACTGAATATATGTACAGGGTGTCCTAGAAGGTGTTAAAGGCTGTTGATGGTGATGATGTGTCCTAGAAGTAGACGTCAAGCCGGAATCTGGTGATAGTAGCCATAATAGTTAACAGAAAAATGTATTAAAAATCTTTGCAATGTATTTTAAAAATTACACGCATTTATAAATAAATCGAGAAAATCCAAACTCTGTGACGGTTAACACCTGTTAACACTTTTAACACCTGTTACTACAAAATGTAACTTCTTTTAATTTTCTTTTTATTATGTAATCCTCAATTAAGCTTCTGAAAACTGTTGTATAAAATTTACAGCCAGTCCAGAAGGAAATGTATTTTTTTCCCAACCAAGTATTCAAAATTAATACTTTGCCCAGTTTTAAATGACTGTACTGAAAAAAGTACTACACGAGTTATGCGAGTAACTTTAAAGTTGTCGCATTTAATAAGGATTTGAAAATAGTATAACACTTGCAAGATTGTTTGTTTAATTATCAAACATATATATTTTTTAAAGAAACCCAATTGTAAATTAAGTTTCCTTATAATAACCACGAACAGGAAAGTTTTAAATTTTAGCATTCAAGTTATCGATGTTTAATATAACCTAAAACTTTTCTAAAAAATAATGATAATCAAAATTTTAAAGCAAAAAATACACTGAGTCATCATTCCTGGTGACATTGAATTACCTGAAAAGTGGATTTCTGTCTCGCTCACACTTCTTTCCCTTTCACTCAGACTAGAATCTTAAGCAACAGGCTTGAGGAAATCCTTGGAATACAAAAAATAAATTTAGACGGGACATATATTATTATAATGAAACTTCATTTACTGGGTGAAAACTGGGTTTCTTTTTTAAAACAAAACCTTAATTTACTAAACAATCTTGCAAGTGTTATACCTTTTTCGAATCCTTATTAAATGCATTTAGTTCCTTTTTGGTATCTAGCAGTCATTTAAAACTGGGCAAAGTATTAATTTTTAAATACTTGGTAGAGAAAAAAAATACATTTCCTTTTGGACTGTTGTAAATTTACAGCTTACTACTCTACAGTTGGCTGTAAATTTAAAGCAACAGTTTTCAGAAGCATTATTCAGGATTACATAATAAAAAGAAAATTAAAAAAAGTTAAATTTTGTAGTAAAAGGTGTTAACAGGTGTTAACCGTCACAGTGTGGATTTTCTCGATTTATTTATAAATGCGTGTAATTTTTAAAATACATTCCAAAGGTTTTTAATATATTTTTCTGTTAACTATTATGGCTACTATCACCCGATTCCGGCTTGACGTCGACTTCTAGGACACTATATAAGGTGAATAATAAGTCTTATTTTGTATATATAAGGAATAAACATTGTTTTTTTATGTATCGATACCGTTGTTTCAATAGATTTGGTATTATATAAAATTTATTTGTTCATAAATCTGAATTTCACCAAATCTAAAAATTTGTTGAAATGTAGACTAACAGCAATGTTTGTAAATACTTGGTCAAACTGTTCTCATATATGTTTTACATTTCAAATTCAAACAATTTTTTATGTTATTTAATACTGTTAAAGATGTAGTTCGTAACGAACAATAGAGAGAGCAGTCTGTACCTCTTTATCAATCGTAGCTTATCGTGCAGCCATTAGATAAATAGTTTTGACTTTTATATTTGATTTTTATTATATAAATAAATTTAAACGTTCAGAATCAGTATTATTCGTAAATAATTTGAAGGTACTTTTTAATGGCTGGACGAGGAAGAGGCGAGCTCGTGGTTCCACCCAAAACCTCGCGCGTTTTTGTCCCACTTCGCTACGCCACTGTTATGTGTAATTTGGAGGTCCGCCGGTCGAAGTCACTCCCAAGGCTGTGAGCACGTTGAAACTATCCAGAAAAATCTTTAATGAATTCTCTTTTAAAATGTTGCATAATCAACCGATATCAAATTTCTCAATCGGTGAAAGCCGTTATCATAATGAACTTTATTGCGGCTTGCAGTTCTCAAATTGTAGTTAGATGTTTAAAGTGGATATAAATAAGGTAGATATAAGTAATCAAAGCTTGTTAACACAAAACAAATTGATTAGGAATGCTCTAGAAACTTTTTTATATTCTTCATTAAACCATCTAGATAACGAATTTTCAATCTATATTTTACGTAGGTTTAATGTTAAAGTAATGAGATCTAATCAATTACAATTATTCCATTAATTTAGCAGCGACAGACAAGTTATTACATTGTTATTTATTGATAAGGAAATATTTTAATGTAAAACAAGTTGTGGTTATTAAGTGAATATCCAAACTTAAGAAAATTATCATACTTGAACATATTTGTATTTATAAACATTTAAAATTTACACAAGTTGTTCTCACCAATAACATTGATGGATTTTAAAGTGCGTTTACGTCTAAAGCTCAAATTTATATCATATTATTTTGTTTAGAGGTTTTTGAACTTATTAAAATCCACCTTAAATAAACAAATAAAAACTCCACCAAAGAAGAACGAGCGTATTATTTTTATTAAGGAAGTGATAATTTTCAAATCCCAGTTAAACGTTAAATATATTTAAAAGATATATATTACATATTCGTTCTTATATGAGTATATAGCTCTCAAAAACAAACGACTAACGACTACACTATTTAAGTACCTAAAATATTATTTACTGTTATATTCTGAACACTATTTCCTGTTACATATCATTTTAAGATGAGGTTGTGACATAATAATATTGATTAATTACGATAATTCCCATTAAGAATGTTCAGTTATTCGATATCAGCAGCTGAAATACATAATAGAGCGGCTATTATGTTCTCGGTCATAATCCTCTGGAAATGATATAAGAGCTTACTTTAATTACATGACGGAATTACATGACGTTTATGTGTACTTGATCAGTTAATGTAACCATTAGAAAGTTTATAATGATTTCTCATTTGGTGTAAATAAACTTAACATTTTTTTGTTGTTTAAACAACACGTACCTATGTATCTTAATTAAATGTTTAGATCTCTGGTTGCTAAGATTTTTTTAATAAAAATAAAGAAATAAAATATTCCTCGGTTTATATTTTGTATTATATACAATATTAAAATTTATAGTCGATAAAATGTCTAATAAATTTCATCACATCATCACATCATCAGCCTATCGCAGTCCACTGCTGGACATAGGCCTCTCCCATTGCACGCCACTTAGATCGATTTTGGGCTTCTCGCATCCAGCTCCTGCCAGCCATCTTGCGCAAATCGTCACTCCACCTGGCCTGTGGGCGTCCTACACTACGTTTGCCGAGACGCGGTCTCCACTCAAGAACTCGTTTTCCCCAACGGTTATCGGTTCTGCGGCTAATATGGCCAGCCCACTGCCACTTCAGCTTGCTGATCCGGTACGCTATGTCGGTGACCTTAGTTCTCTGCCGGATCACCTCATTTCTGATGCGATCCCTTAGAGAAACGCCGAGCATAGCCCTTTCCATAGCACGTTGAGCGACTTTGAACTTGTGGACCAGCCGTACCGTAAGTGTCCACGTTTCAGCTCCGTATGTCATGACGGGTAGGACGCACTCATTAAAGACTTTCGTCTTAAGGCACTGTGGGATCGACGATGAGAAGACTCGACGTAGCTTCCCAAACGCTGCCCAACCCAACCGAATTCTTCTGTTCACCTCGTCCTCGAAGTTGTTTCTACCTAACTGCAATGTCTGCCCGAGGTACACATAATTTTGAACAACTTCGAGAACGGCACCGTGTACCGCAATCGGTTCCGGTAGTACATGTTCGTTGAACATGACCTTGGTTTTATCCAAGTTCATCCGTAGGCCGATGCGTACAGAAGTGTCAGCTAAGTCATTCAGCATTTGCTGTAGGTCCTGCAACGTCTCTGCCATGATGACGATGTCATCTGCAAATCGCAAGTGAGAGATGTATTCGCCATTGATATTGATGCCACGCCCTTTCCAGTGCAGCGTCTTGAGCATGTCCTAATAAATTTAATATATCAATAATATATCAACGATTTTTTTTATGAAATGCTACCTTCTAATATGGGTACATATATTGTATTGCGGCCGTTTGTATGGCGAATGACCGGCAACCAGCAGGGAATCGGAAACTGAGCGATAAGCCAGCGCTAACCGTAATAGGTAATGGTCGTAATAGAGGGGTCGCTAACCTGATCAACTACTACTGTAACTAGGTCGAATAATTGAAAACACGCACTATTAATATTTAAACATGTATATAATAAGTAATATCTCAATTAGTAAGTGCCGTATCCGTATTTCGTTTCAGGGTTAAAGGACTGCACGTTTTACTTATCATACTTTTATTATTATCATTATGTTTTCTTATCATGTACTTGAGCAACAATGACAATATAAAAGGATTACTTCAAATCTCTTGAAGTTAACTCGACTTCAGATTTTAATACTTCACTGCATGATGATAGTGAACTGTAACGAGTGCCTAGTTAACAAATTAAAAGAGCGAATTGTCTTCAGAGTTGGGTGGCACACACATGTTGGCAAGCCATGAATTACATAATTGAGACACAAGCAATGACGATATGCTGAATAATAGTGCCAAACAGCGGGGCGGCCTAGTCGTAGTGCGGAAGCCTTTGGA